TATTTTCGATGAAAACGATCTATTTTATATTTACCTTTGTCTCCGTTTTAGTTTGTTGTGAATGATTCTCATATGGTCTCGTCATCCTCAGCCATGAAATTCAGAAAAATTAAGTTAGATACATAGTTTATTAATATCAATATGGGATTAATAATCCCGTTCTGTTTGTATAAATAATATTTGAAAGCGTACAAATAATATATATTCAATATATGACTAAGGCTACCTGTTATTCATGTTACTTTTCTTCATTTTGGTTGGTGGCTGCTATACCTTAATCTTCTTTTGCTCTAGTCGAAAACCTCAAATTTAAAAACAAAAAAGGTTAGTACCAATGAACCATATCAATTAATTATACTATATGATAAATAATTGATGAAATTTTAGAAATAAGGAGAAGTGTTAACTAAGAACTTGCCTGATTCAATTTCAATGTTGCTCGCTTATGTAACATAGGTTTACATCCCAATTTAGTAGATGATTATTGTGGCTCCTCCTCATACATTAAGAATGATACATTGATGTCAGTAATATATCATGATAGGATATTCAATAACATATTTTAAGTACTAAAACAGATTTATTCCATGAAAAGACACATTGAGACAATCATTATTTTATCCAGGATTATAGGTAAATTATGAGAAGCCCATGACAGTGTTGGGTTCGCTAGTACCGTACGGGCTTTAAGCAGCGGAATTTAAAATTTTTCAAAATAAGTATTTATCGTATAAATACAACACCCGTACATACTAATTGCGAATTAACTGATAGTCATCTTTAAAACATGCATCATATACAAATTTTGATTTGTTATATAAAATAAATACAAATACAAAGTATTTACCGAATGTCTTGAACTCCTTCAACGACGATGTGGATTGTGGGAATCGGTTCCCGGTTTGATAACTTCAACGGATTGATGTTACTCACTTTAGGAATCCAAGTGTCTTCCCTCTAAACGTATCCACCCTATGAAGCCCGGTTCCGACGACCTTCCTTCGCTAGTAGGAATGTCTCGGTTTTCTTGTATAGGAATATGTATGAATTTTATTTTGGGAATTTTCAAGAACTCTTTCTTGATGTTTATGAAGAACTATTCTTCTTTCTAACACTTAGAAATTTTAGGAATGAATTCACCTTAAATGCAAAACCATTTTGCATCTATTTATACTAAACATTTTAGCATAAAATAATCAACATTTAGTAATATTTAAATAAAATCAGATTTTATTTAAATAATATTTACTAACTATTGACTTTGAATTTACTAACTATTGACTTTGAAAATAATAAATAATGTTAAGTGGTTCAAACCACCTTTAACCACCATTTTATTATAATCATATTTATTATTTTAATCCTTAAATCATATTTAAAGATAAAAATAATAATAGAATAATAAATCTTGAGAATCTTTTCAAGACTTTATTATTATATTCATTTTCCCAATTTACATCCATATTATAATAATCATATTATTATTATTTTGGTTTGGAAATTTAAAATCCAATTTTAAATTCCAACATATTAATTTAGTAATTACCTTAATTACTAAAGTAATATCCAAAATGTAATTAATCAATCTTATTGATTAATATATTCCTTTTAATTGATATCTAATCAAATTAGATTATGTCAATTAATTCTAACTCTTTAGAAATACAATTTTTCACCTTTGTTCATAATAGGTGTGACCTTTTAGGTTCACCTTAATACTAGTAGTGGGTTTACAACTCTTTGTAATTTGAGTTAATCACATTAACTCTTATTCATGAATTAACCCTTTAATTCAAGAACCCACATATCATGGGAACACCTAGCAAGTAGCATGAATCTAGTATTAAGTGAATAGCGAGTAAACCTATTCCGATTACAACTCCATACATGTAAAATCCTTTCGACATCTAATTTCCCGATTAAGTCTTGGGTATGATTTTGTCGAAACCCAAATTGACTTAATAACTATGATTCTATTTCAAGTTTATTAACCCTGTTATGAATCACTATTCATCTCTGCCTTGGCCAAGGACTTTGGATTAATAACTATGAAACACATAGGAAATTCACTTATCTTCATAAGTGTCGAATCCTTTATTGGCCACTAACAAACTTCCATACATATTAACATAATACCCAACTTATCCCTTTAAACGATAGTGCTAGCTACCAAAAAGATAAATCAAAGTAGAATGTAATATGCACAAAGTTACCATTGTGCCTCAAGTCTTAGGATTAGTCATGTACTATTGTAACATGAAAATTCTTATTCGACTGAATAAATTCTTCATTAAGAATTTTCATACGGTCATGTTCAGTGAACTTGTTCTCTAACAAGCACCCACATAAATGTACTTACGTCTTACGCTAATGTTGATGGAATGCAACATTCTTGTCCAACAAGCATACAAACTATGTGCAAGTCTTTTATGGATTATTCGATATCCCATCTCGAAACATCCATCGACTTGGAACTGTATTTAAGATCACGGCTTTCAAGGTATGTTCCATGATCACCATCTCTATGCGCAACCATACCTTATAACCATAAGTGATCTAGGGATTTTATCTTAAGTGCAATTATAAGATAAATGCTTTCTCTTAAGATAAAGAAATGCCTTATTCATAATATAATTCCAATAGACTGTTTTTACAAGTAGAATACGTCCAATTAGATTGGAACGCCGGGTACCCTACTCTAACAGACAGACCGTACAAATAAATTATTATATCATACATAATAGAGAAAACTAATTAATATGAAATGAATATAAATACTATATATATTGTATGTGTTTAACATAAAAAATGTTTTATATCTTTTATGTCGTATGTACAATTGTATATTATTTAAATTTCAGATAAATATGTTTATTTGTTTCAATTAATATGTAAATCTTCATATATTTTATTTCACTATTTTTTTATCAAAAAAGAGAATGTATCATCATTCTACAGTTATGCGTGGTGCACAAAATAAACGTCAAAATACCCATAATATCCACCACATTTATATAATTGGATTTTTTATAATATTATTAATATAATATTTTAACTAATTAATCATTAGAGTTTGCATCTCCTCCGCGGAAAAAACCCCTTTTCCTTCAATAACCCTAGCTTTCGACGCCGGTGATTTGTGCTCTCTCAGCGACCATCTGAATAGCCGGTGGACGGCTCTCCGCCGAGTGTCCACGCTTCTATTCGCGGCACTACTACCCTTCGTTTCTCTGGTCGGGGGGCGAGGATGGAGGTCTTTGGCAGATTTCGCCGATCTGCTCTGGAAGACCGCCGGAGCTCCTGGGTGGCGAGGTGGGGTGGAGTGCGGCCATAGAGGATGGATACGGCTCACGTTGCTTGCATCGTTCTTGTCCAGTTGTCTCTATTACCAGCTTTCGTTGATGGCCTCACCGCTGGATCTGCGAATTTACAGGTTAAAATCCGGTTCTCTGTTTCGCCGGAGCCCTGGTGTGGCAGCGGGTGGGCTGAGGTTCGTCTTTGGGGGCTGGGGGGAAGCTTGGGTTTGGGCTTTGGCCGGGGCGTCTCCTCTCGCCGGGCTTGGAGGTCTACCCGTTTGCGAATCTTCGGTTTCTGCCGGAGTCGGGTCTCTGGCACCTCGGATTTGATGGGGTGTTGGGTCTGGGTTAGTCCTTGCGGGCTGGGTGGATTGGTGGTCGTTTTGGGCTGGGTTCGTCCTTTCGGGCAGGGTCGGCGCGGCCGAGCGTTGACGCCATTCGTCCCCTTCCTCTCCTCTCTCTGTTTCGGAGTTCGTGGGAGGCCGACCGTTTCCAAAGCTGGCTAGTGGTGATAGGTAGTTCGGGACGGTGCCGGATTGGCTAGTGGTGTTAGCCGGTTGGGGGTCGATTGTGGTTTCTTGCGGTTGGTGTGCGAGTTGGTTTTTCGGATTGTTCGGAGGCTTAGGTCATCGTCTTGCTAGGCCTTATGCAGTGGCGGGCGTGGTATCTGAGCTTCGGAGCTCTCCTCGGAATCGGCTTTGTCTGCTGTTCTTTTCGGGTGTGCTGCTGAGGGAGGCTTTGTTTTTAGTTTGTAGTTTTTTTGTTATTCGTATGTTTCACTTGTTTGTTCTTGTTTGGTGTTGTTTGTGTTTTTGGTTTGGGCCGTTGGCCTCAGTTAGCCCGGGTGTAACTTTATTATCCTGTTGGGACCGTACACTCGGGCATTACCCTGTTGGGGTCGTTCGTAGTTTTTTTAATGTTTCAGTATCGTTGTGTTGTTTGAGTTTTTAGGTTACCCTGTTGGGGTCGGTTCTAGGCAGTCTTTAGGCTGTCCTCCCAGGTTTTCAGCTGTTGGCTGGTTGTATTCAGCCGTTGGCTGTATGTATTCAGCTAGGGGTTGTAATTTCGCACATTTGTGCCCTTTTATATATAGTATCTCTATCGTTTCGGAAAAAAAAATAAAATCAAAACCGTAAGGTTTAATAATATTACTTTAAAAAATATTGTATAAAGAGAAGTATTTAATAATATATATTTTTCATTGTTTGTATTTATTTTATTTCCATAATAGATGAAATGTGAAAAAATATAAAGAATTATATTTAAAATAAAGTCTACAAAAAAATTTAAAATATGAGCTCACCGTGCATCTCGCACGGGATATACATTAGTATTCATAATTAGTTGACGATTTTGTGAGCATTAATTAAAAATTAATTTCAGGTAGGCGGCCCTACATACAATGTAGAATTAGGTAGACGAGATGGACCCGTTTCCTAAGCTTCTCGGGTCTCCGGATACTTACCCATACCCGAATATAATCTCACCCAACTCAACACCATGTTTGCCTTATACAACCTGTCGCAGACCGACATGATAGCTCTATCCGGAGGAGGTCACACAGTTGGAGTTTCTTACTGCAATCGTTTTGCAAACTGACTCTATTCCTTCTCTCGGGCTGACCCGGTAGACCCGACGCTAGACCCGGGATTTGCGCGCCAGCTCATGCGAGTGTGCCCACCGAATGCTAACCCTAGTATAAAGATGAACTTGGATTCCACGACCCCACTAACATTCGACAACGCCTACTTTCAGAATCTGATTGAGGGGAAGGACGTGCTCACTTCTGACCAGGTGTTGTTTGAGGACCCGAATTCTCGGTCTGACGGTGGTGGATTTTGCTCGAGATGCGGGTGAGTTCAATCGAGCGTTTGTAGTGGCCATGATGAAGCTTGGAAGGATAGGAGTGACAATGGGCCGCCAAGGGGAAATACGACGGGACTGCACGTCGTTCAATTCATAACATAATTTATCTTGTTACCTAAGAAAAAATGATTTTGTACCTATTTTTTTCGGTTCTATTTTTTGTAAATTGAAGACTTTAAAAATATGTAAAACCATTTTGAGGTAAATAAAAAAATAATTCTATATTGTATATGTGGAAAAATATAAGGTTGAAACAATTGACGTTATACTCCATTTACCCAGTTATTGACTCAATAAATGAATCTCATCTATATATACATAATTGCTGGCTCATGACCATTTAATAAAACCTATTAAATTATACCTAAGTGGCAATATAACTTTTTTCCTCCAAAAACCGTTACTTTTTATTTATTTAACCTCTCATTTAATTATTAGATAATCAACACACTAATCACTTAAAAATTACAAAAATCATTTTAAACTTTTAATTTACTTACAACTGACCACATAATGTGTTGACTATTTAATGTGATTAGATGTTATTGTTGCGGTTACATTTAAATTAACTTCTTTTGAAAAATAAAAAACGTATTTGAAATTCTTAAATAAATAATAAATAATTCACAAAAAAAAAATGCATACCAAAATATGCATTACATCTAATATGATAAACGCAATTTAAAAAAATAAATATTCCAGCTCCTTTAATTGCAAATTTGGCCTGCAAAAAAGTGCGAGAAAAATCATTAATCATTATATGCATAAAAATAACTCACATTACTTTATTTATATATGTGCAAATGCACAGGTCGAATACTAGTTTTATGGTAAAATCAAAGTAGTAAACGTTGAATATATATATGTCCGCTATTATATTATGAATTTGGAGTACAATTCGTAATTAAGGTATGCTTCATTTATGTGGTATATAAAATGAACTTATTATCCGTGTCCATTCGATACATTGTAAATGCGCTAGAGTAATTCAAGTTGGTTTGTATACTAAAAGCTCGACTTTATTTACAACGAATTTCTAGTCCGTTTTTAATAAGAATCATGTTTAGTCAAAAGTGCTTGTTCTATTATTTCACATTGGGGATAATATGATTCGATGTGTCGAACAGACGATCATATAGATAGAATTGAACAAACTATCGTGAAAGGTTGTAGTATAATTTTGAATTAGTTTATCTTGGCTAATGAATTACACCAGTACATCTTGGATGTATTGAACGGACACAAAGGATAAGAATATTTTATACTGACTAAGTAAATAATCTAGACCTCAGTTATTACTCGTGCTCTAAAGCTTTAAGATAATAAATGATCGTGTGCGTTTAATATTTATTATTTTTATTTACCAAAAACGTATCAAACTATTGGGTCAATAGACTAGTTGATTGAGTAATAAATGTAAAATAAATCATTTTTTGCTGAAATTATTTACAGTCACTGTGTCTTAGTTAGCTGAGTTGATGACGTCCCCAAAATGAGCTCAATTCGTTATGCTAAACTCTACAGGTGAATTACGTTCCGACATAATGAAATGGTTGAGTGGTACTAATTTCATAAACAAAAAGTTAATTAACTATACAGTAGTTAAATTAATTAATGGACGTTAGATCTTAAACATGGCTAGATAAATCGTGTGAATAAATCTTGAAACGAATTAATTGTAATTCAAGGTAAAATAGGAAGTTGAAAAATACTCTTTTAGTGGAATGGAATGTTATTCATGTTTAATGGGTGTAGGTGGACCAAAACCAAAGTTGCATGTTCTCATGGGTGTTCTAATTTAACACCTCATTTAAGTCCCTGTTGTAGCCTATAAATACACCAAGTTCCAAAAAAGAGTCTAAGTTATTATTGTTTTCTCACTTGATATTTCGGCCAAAAAGCCGTGAGTTTGAGAGAGAAGAAAAACGTGAGATTCTGAGAAAGAAAAGAAAAGACGGTGTTCTGAAATACAAAGTCTTCTTCGTTCTATCCCAGGAATCAATCGTGCGCGAGACTTTAAGGGAAATATGAGTAGTCATCGCCAACAAAGATGATCTCGGAGAGAGGTATAAGAAAATGGTGCACAAGATCAAGAGGTCATCCGTTCGTCCGGTCCCGTAGACTATGTAAGTCGGTACAAAGTCAAAAATTTTAAAACGTAATTTGAATCTAGCTTTAGTTGCGTTGTGCGTAGGATTCAATTTCTTTGATTCATGTTCGATTCAACACACAATCCTCGACGTTCTTCATCGAATTCAACAATTCATTGATCAAGAACAACTAAACATGATTCTCATTCAAAAACTTGGAATAAATTCGTAATAAAGTAAAGATTTCAACATATAAACCAAGGATTAAAAATAAAAAAATTATAAATAAGTAAAAATTAATTAAAAATTATATATTTAAGAAATAATAATATTATTTCTCACTCATCTCTCAATTGGTTGGCTAGAATGTGAAAGAGATTATGGATGAATCACATTCTTCTCTACATTGTATACATTAATTATGTCCACACCATTACTACATTTCTGATTACATGAACATTGGAGGATTAAAATTAAAGATATTATTAAATTTGTTAATATAAAGTGTAGTTTTACTATAATTACATTTCACTATGAGAGGTTCTCTCACTGAGCATATCCGGACGGATATATCAATTACAAAACGAAACTCTATTTCTAAAGATAATTATGTAAAATGTTATAATTGTACCTAGTTGGAGATTTTGTAGTCATCATTGTCATGTTACCATTCATATGTATGCTTTCTTTTTCTTCCACCTCATGGTCCATTTTTATCACTACGCGTAGAAGAATTTCACCATATTTTAGGTTAAATGACAAAACACGGGATTAGTGAAAATATTTTCCTTGTAACACTTGATTCGGCAAAAGGCTATATATTTTATTGTGTACAACCAACCTATGCCCGCACAGCAATTTGCAAGCAATTCAACTTTTCAGCTTATATTATTTGAGCATTTTTAGATACATTGTCTACTTTCTTTCTTTTAGAATTTATGGCTGTGAACTGTATTCACGATCAGGAATCGAGTTTTATCATAAAGCATCAAGGTTTTCCTTATAGTAGCAGAACATGCTAATACGTCTACTCAATTTTGTTTGTCAAAAATTGGTATTAGGGCAAATCTTGTGGCGACAGGATAAGCAATGGTCAAACTTTTCCATCTTTTTTTGTCAAAATGCTGATGCGATGGATTTTGTCGTCTTCACTTTAAAGAATAAACTAACCTGGCAATCGGAAAA